GTGGCTTTTCATACAATAAAGCAAAACTAATGACAGGAAGTCAGCTAGAAATTTTTGAAATTTTCAAGATTGTTCACAAGATGTGGGTTTTCTTTCTTCCATTAATTATGAACTTCCCTTTAGGAGTTTAATATACTAGGGTACATGTATAATTTATGAATGATGAATCATATGAAAAATTTCATTTTCACAGATTAAAAATGATCAAGTAATTTCATATGATTCAGCTAAGAGAAAAAATAATGATATGTATAAGGATGTATCTCCCAAATTTTCTTTTATAAGTGTGCTACCCAAGCAGATTTGAAGCCCACTGAGGTAGAAGAGGCTTATACTTAGGATCTCCACAGTAAATGGCTATTGGGTAAAAATGAAACTGTAATTACAATGATAAGAGGATGTCATTTATATAATAGAACAGTAAACAAAAACTTAGAGAAGGAGGGTGTGTAGTAGGTGCCAGAAATCTTTAGGGGAAGACTTTATGGTGAAGAATAAGGAGAGCTAGTATAAAATTTTACAGCTAAAGACAAATATAAATCTTGCTTTAAATATCTGCATTGTTTCTTACCATAAGTGATTCGAATTACTGAGAGTGGGCTATGCACATTTTTTATGTACATTTAAAAGCAACAGTAAAATTTATTTGATTAAATCATTCTAAATATACTCACTAGCGTACTTTGAAGGCATTCTCATCAAAGCTGGAGAGGTAAATGTATTTATCTCCTCTGTGTTTTTGTGACTTATTTCTCTTTTTTCTTTTTCTTTTTTTTTTCGGAGAGGTTTTTGCTATAGGGCCAGTAAGACAGAGAGCAACAGAGAGATAGAAAGAGAAATCACCCCCCAGGGGGGATGGCCATGCCACAATCCCCTCTCCTCCATTCTTCTCTCAGGATCTTGGGCACACATGCACATACGCCTGGTGCGAGTTCAAGCCACCAGATCTGGGACTTGAACTGCGGTTGACTACATGGGAGTCCAGCAACATAGCCATTATGCAACTGCTGGTCTCATGAGGTATTTTTCAAACCAAGGATTACAGCTCATTGGTGAGCTTGAAATGAATATATTGGGTCAAAAACTCAGTTTTAAAGAATGAAATGAAATAGAGTTGAAAATGCGGACATGTATTGTTCAGAGCAAGGATAATCTTGTTTCAAGAATTTACAGTTTAGTTTTATATGTGTGGGTTTATGTGAATGTGTTAGGTTGATATAAGAAATGTATTTCTGACTAAAGATTGAGGCAAAAAAAAAAAAAAGGAAAGCCACTGTGATAATCGATAGTTTGAGTTTATGATAGAGAGTGATTACTGACTGTTCATGGTGAAGCTTTCACATCAGAGTCCTGTTCCTTGGTTTGAATTTTCAAAGCTTGAAATCCTCCAACCATCACAGCGAGCCTGCATCTAAGCAGTCTTTGTTCCCCCAATCCCAGTGCTTGTGTTTGGGTTTCCATTCCTTCTATTCAGTCCTTTGAGTGCTCTGCTGACTTGATAGATTCAGTTTTTTTTTTTTTCTCCCCCTACTTTGGTACTGCCAAGAGGAACTCCCTGTTTGGCTTGGGTGGATCAGTTACATTGCAAACTGTGTTCCCAGATTGTTGTTACTTTCTGCAGTACTTAATAAAGGCTAAATCTATGACAGAGTGGACTGAAAGTTGGGCCATGCCCATTAATACCAAATCCTCCAGTTCTAATTCTTGCAAGACGTGCACCTTGTTTTGAGCTGTGTTCTCTAGATTGGCTTTAACACCAGCTCATAGTTTCCTCAGTTCAGCAGTCAAGGCACTGGGTGTCTCTGTGAGCAAAGGCCTGGCCCAGGTGGCGGCGGCATTGCTGTCAGTGGGAAGCTGAGAAGTTGGCACCAGCCTGTGGCAGCACTGAGTCAGGGTTTTGGGTGGTGGCAGGTCACAGGGACCACGCCTGGTTTCCAATCTTGGCTCTGATCTTTGTGAGTTAATGGACCTTAATCAGGCAAGTTATGTAAACCTTTTTGTTTTTTAAATTGCCGGAGGGTGTGTGTGTGTGTGTGTGTGTGTGTGTGTGTGTGTGTGAGAGAGAGAGAGAGAGAGAGAGAGAGAGGGGAGGAAGGGAGGGAGGGATGAGGGAGGGAGAGAGAGAGAGAGAGAGAGAGGGAGAGAGATATTGAGACAGAGAAAGCAAAAGCACCCGGGGGGAGGAGGGGGGGGGGAGGGAGAGAGAGAGAGAGAGAGAGAGGGAGAGAGATATTGAGACAGAGAAAGCAAAAGCACCCTCCAGTACGGTGTGAACGTGTCACAATTCCTTATCCATTTATCCGTCCTATCGGGACTGGGGACATGTACACACCTTGTGTCAAGCTGTTCAGCCTGGGATTTGAACTGCTATCAGCCATGTGGGATCTGGTTCCCTTAACCATAGAGTCCTGGACTGACTCACTAGTTCAGTAAATACTAATCCCTTCTCCTGTTCTTAGATGTCTTATAGAGCTTTTCTTACTTACCATCGGATATTTCCTGAGGCACGAAATTATTGCCTTTTTTTTTTCTTTTTAATAAAGAGATTTTTACTATATGGCTTGTGTGCTGGCCTGAGAGTCAGAGCCAGGCAGAGAGACAGAAAGTGAGAAACCACCCCCCAAGGGGGATGGTCATGCCACAATCTCTTCTCCATCTCAGGATCTTCGACACTCATGCACATGTGCCAAGCATGAGTTTCAAGCCACTGGATCTGGGACTCGAACTGTGGTGTCAACTATGTGGGAGTCCAGCAATGTAACCATTATGCTATCTGCTGGTCCAGGATTCTTTCTTTTTAAAGTCATTTCTTCCTTCCATGAGTGAGTGAGTGAGAGAGAGAAGGAGAGAGAAGGACCCTGACAGGGTCTTCAGGCTGTGATCCACCCCTGGTGTTAGCCAGCTCCAGATCAGTGCATGCCCTGTGTGTTCAGGCAGGTTCCCAGACACACACCTGAACCCTCCCAGGTGATCAGCCCCTCAGAGCGTTTTGTTACCACCACCCCACTGTCTGGACCCCTCAAAATGACGTTTTTAGAGAGAACATCTTGGGGCTGTCAGTCTGAGTGATCATACTGAGCACCCACTGAGCACAGAGTGACATCTGGGGCCAAGAGGCCTGGGAAGTACAGCAGGTTCCTCTTCTGACTTCGCTCTCCAAACTGGGCATTAACACCTCTAAAATGACTACAGGTAGGCGGCAGCCTCCTCTTTTTCAGTATGCCTAGGTTGGGGTGACTTAGAATGGTAGTCTTTGTTTGAAGAATATCCATAGGTATTTTCTGCCCCTTGATTAACATAAAAGACATAGTCTTCCTAGTGCTGCTTTTATTTGTAGCTTCTCAGGATTTCTTTTCTTCATCTATAAAGAGAGGGGGATTGAGTTAGCTACTTGTAATTCCTTTAGCTTTAAAAGTTTACTGTTCCCAGGAGCTGGGTTTCCTGTTGTTCTTGAAGTAATTTATCCTTGAAACATTGCATGGAGGTTATTTTTTTTCTCTAACAGTGTTTATCAAAATTTCCTACTGGGACTTTTAAATTTTAATTTTCCAGAGGGTGTATGTGCTAACCAGAGAGAAGTAGCAGAGGGGGGGAGAGGAGAAAGCACCCCTCACCGGGGCATGGCCATGCTATAATCCCTGCTTCTCCATCTCTCCATTCTGTTATGATTTGGGCCATGCATGTGTATGTGTCTGGCGTGTTTGTCAAGCCATTGAGGCCAGGGTTTGAACTGTGGTCAACAATGTGGGTGGCAGTTGACTCCCTTAACCACTAGGCCAAAGGGCTGGTCTTTCCTTGGAGATTTTGTTGGTTTTTATCTCTCTCCACTTCCATGCAAAGGGGAGGGTTATATTGAAAAGGGTCATAGCTACCACTGGGGAAAGCTCACCAAGGTGTGAGTGACTCTGCATCCTCTCTGCACACGTTTCTACAGGATGCTCAGCTGGACAAGCATGACTCATGTGCAGTCCCTGCTTGGTTGGTTTTGAGATATGAGCATCTCTGTAGGCAGACTGCAGGGGCTAGCCACTCATGGCGTACACCTTCAGGGACTGGCCAGAGGTTCTCACCTGCGCACCTGTCAAAATGTCGCTCCCCAAGCTCCTCTCTCAGATCCTGATGTTCACAAACTCAGGATTCTGTATCTGAAGCTGGCCGCATTGTGGTTCTCGTGCAGGTGGGTTTGAAGGATACATTTTGTGAAACTCTGGTTTAAAATGTGTCCACTTGGGGATCAGCAGATGGCATAATGATTATGTCACTGGATCCCACTTAGTCGACGGTGGTTTAAGTTCCAAACCTGGTGCCTTGAAACTCACACTGGGCACGTGTGTGTGTGTGTGTGTGCCGCAAATCCCAAGAGGAGAATGGAGGAGAAGGGATCGCAGCATGGCCATCCCCCCTGGGAAGTGACTTCTTACTTTCTGTCTCTCTGATGAATGCATGTGCCCTATTGCAAAAATCTCTCTAAAACAAAAAACAAAAAAATAGTGTGCCACTTGGCTGTTTGAGATTAGCAGGCAAATTTAAACTTTATTTATGAACTGTCTTCCTCTGAGGATGGTAGGATTATTTCCTTGTTCATAATAAGGATGAATTTATAACTTTTATGAAAACCAGGTGATTTTCCACATGGTGGGCTCACCTCTAAAGCCAGGAAAATCTCCATGCTTTTCATTCCAGAGGCTCTGAAGAGGATGGGAACTTAGGGAATGTGTCGTCCAGTGCCTTGGTGGGATTGGGAAGTTAAACAACTTAACCCTTTTATGTGAGCACCTGGGTTGGGAATTCAGGCTTTTAGGCTAAAACACACAATATTGGTTATGAGATATGTAAATAGTTTGTGTTATGAAAATTGATTATGTTTTAAAAATGTCTCAGTCATTGGTCGTGAAGACTTAGAGGATGATATAAAAATGATAAATAATTCCACACTGAAAAATAATTTAGTTACTTGATTATTATACTGATCCCTTTTCAATATAATCATTGCGATTCAGGGTGAAAAGTTTGGACCATTTGCTGGAGAGAAGAAAATGCCCGAAGATTTGGATGAAAATATGGATTACAGGTTGATGTGGGAGGTGAGGATGTGACTATTATTTTAAACATTAAAAATGTGTTTCTCTTTATACTCTTTAATGCATTTGAAGGCTACATTAATTGATACTGACTCCAGTTGAGTATTTAAGTATTGGAATGTTTTAATTTTAAAGAAGCTGAGTGATTTGAGATTTTAGCATTTAAAAACATTAAACTCTTATAAGTAGACAGTTCTTTTAAAACTAAGAGGGTGATAGTTCATCACAGAAAAAGTAGTTTTCCATTTATAAGGATATTTTAATTTCAAAATAAATAGGCACTGGGTTTAGAATTTGATTTCCGTGAATGAAATATGAAATTATTCTTTAACTTTTATTCCCTCATTGTAGTTCTAATTGTATAGAATCAATTCTGAGTTCTATGTTGGAACAGAAATTCACTTTAAAATGTGCATTTTTAAAAAATTGAATTTGTTACCGGGCATTTGTGCTCGCTGGAGAGACATAGAGCATGAAAGGGAAAGGGAAAGTGAGAAGTCAGGCTCCCAGGGAGGATGGCCTTGCCACAGTCTCTTCTACTCTCTCCTCTGGGGATTTTGAGAATACACACACACATGCCTGGCATGTTTTTCGAGCTGCCTCTTCTGGGACTCAACCATGCAGCTGACCATGTGGGGTCCAGCCATCTTCAACTCCATGTCACGTGCTGTAAAGGTGCCTCGTTCTTGAAAGCATGCATTTAAAGCACTGTGGCCCTGTGGACTGTCTTTTGTAGTCAAATGCTTCTCTCATGCAGGGATTTGTATATACCATGAAGATTTTTGTCCTACTGTCTGCCAGTTATATTTGTTGCTAGTTATTAAAGGAAGGGCCCAAGGCATGAAAAAAAGGAAAGCAAAGGTGTAGAGACTAATGAAATGAAGATTTGGAAAACTCAGCTCCAAGAATTACATACATGTGATAGAGTAATTGTATGTGCTAATGTGAGAGAGAGCGGGAGAGAGGTCGACAGAGAGAGAAGCAGCCTCCACAGAGTCTGGTCCCATTATGATATCCTTCCTCCAGTCCTCCAGCCTATCAGATTCTGGGTACTTGTGCACATACCCGGTGTGTTTCAGGCCCACTGGACCTGGGATTTGAACTGTGGTTACCATGTGGGATCCAGTTCACTTGAGCAGTACATTACTCCTGCACCACAGGGACTGCCTTTTGATTTCTGTGAGAAGGGTAAGAGCTAGAATACCTGTAGGGGGGCCTGAGAGGTGGGGAACATAAAATCAGAAAAGGTTGAATTAGTGGAGGAGAGAACTACACATAAAAAGTTTCTGTGTTGGTATCAGTCAGGGTCTCTAGAGAAGTGGAACCAATAGGATATTGTGTATGTATGTGTGTGTACGTATGTGTTTACGTATGTGTATATGTGTATGTATATATATATAGGTATGTGTGTATATGTGTGTGTACGCGTGTGTACGTATATGTGTGTGTGTATGCGTGTGTGCATTTATATTAATACATTTATTTCAAGGTTCATTTCCTGTGATTGTGTCAGCGGCGATACCAAAACCTGTAGCACAGGCCCATAGATGGAAACTCAGACAGGAATTGATGCTACAGGAGCTAGGCAGAATTTTCTTTCCAAGAAACCTCAGTTTTTTGTTCTTAATGCCTTTGACTGGGTGAGGACCAGACACATGATGGAGGGTAATTTATTTAAGGTCAACTGATTGCAGAAGTTAACCACGTCTACAGAAAAACCTTACACAATGCCTAGGTTAGTGTTGTAGTAAATGACCGAGTGACCCAGTATGATAGCTTTGCCAAGCTGATACATAAAATGGTCATACTGTGTTTTTATCAGTAAGCAAAACACATTTGTAGGCCTCGCTTCTGTTGCCGAAACTGCTTGGGGTGGGATATATGGCCGTCTGTTAAAGAGCTTCTGAAAGGTTTCTGCAGTGCAAGTGATAGAAAATGGAAATTAATAATATAGTTCTCACTGTAATTTAAGTTACTGATATTGCCTTAATTTAGCATGCTGTTTTAATTATTTATTTTTAGGAACCTAAATATTTTTAATGACTTTTACTGTTTTTCTGTAAGGTCATCATTTTCTCAGCAGTTAATTCTTTGACTATGAAGATTTTCAGAAATCAAAGTTGGTGGGGAAAAAAATGATAATCTAAATAACTTATAAATGGGGCCAGCTGGTGGTATGGTGGGTAAAGCAGCTGGATCCCACATGGCTGACTGCATGGTTTGAGTCCTGGACCCAGCAGCTTGAAACACTTGCTGGGCCTGTCTGTGTCTGAGTGCCCCAAATCCCGAGAGGACAACAGAGGAGAAGGGATTGGGATGTGGCCATTTCCCCCAGGAAGGGGCTTTCTTATTTTTCCTTCTCTCTCTGTCTCTTTTCAGTGAGCACATGTGCCCCATAGCAAACCTAAAACCAAAACTTCATAGATGATTAAGAATAGCAGTTTTTGAAGACTATTTAATAGCTTTTGATATTTATTTTGTCTGGAAATTTTAGCGTGGTGGTCACATTGATGTCTTGCACGGCTGGGTAGAAGGCTTTGTTAAACAGATAATTACAATGTTTATTTTGAAAGGAAGACTTGCATCTAGGAAACTTAGGCTGGTGGTGTCCTGCCATATGGTTGGCGTTTCAGCAGTACCTCATCTAGTTTTGCATACTCTAGTCCTCTGGTTATGTAATGTCCTCACAGTTTTATTATTTTGTTTTTACATATAAGCATTCCAGTACTCTGCCACTAAAGAGTTCCTGATTTGATCCACTTTTGTGCGCAGGTTCAAATACATCCACATAATGCTATTCTCGGTCTTATTTTACTTTATACTTTATGGCTCAATTTTGCATAAGGAATATTTGTATTTGTTCCACAACTCAAGAGATATGAAAGGGTATTGGTGGAAATTCTCTGTCCCCTTCCAGCCTGCTGTTTTCCCCTAAGCCCTTTCATTCATTTTATTATTTTATATTTTAGGTCTTTGGCATAGGGCACATGCGCATACTGGAAAGAGAACAGCACAGAGAGAGGGAAAGTGAGAAATCACCCACCAAGGCAATGGCCACACCTTTTCCAGTCTACTCTCAGAATTTTGGACATGCATGCACATGTGTCCAGTGTGGTTTTTCAAGTCACCTGGTCTGGGACTGGAACCATGGTCAGCCATGTGGAAGTGCAGTGCCTTAACCACCATACCACCTGCTGCTGCTCTCCTTGATCCATTTAACCCCTTAGTTCAGGTGCCTGTTCCAGTGCCCTCTAGTTCTTCCTTCTTTTAGTCTGGTCTAAATTTGGAATGTCCAGTCACCCACTGCTCTGTGCGGTTGAGCTGCCAGAGAGGGGAATGGACGATGCTTGCTCATGATATGTCTTCTGTCTTCTGGGGAGAACTTTTTTTTTTTTGAGAGAGAGATTTTTGCTATAGAGCATATGCACTTGCTGAAGAGACAGAGACAGAGAGATAGAAATTGAGAAATCCCCCCTGGGGGCATTGCCATGCCATAGTCCCTTCTCCTCCATTCTCCTCGGGATTTTGGGCATGCACTCACATGTGCCTGGTGTGAATTTTAAGCCTCTGGGTCCTGGACTCAAACCATGTTCAACTACATGGGGTCCAGAGGTGTAACCATTATGCCATTGCTGGTCCCTGGAGAGAACATTTTTAAAAAGTCAACTTTAGAGATGCAAAGGTTTCCTGTCTGTGTGGGAGCTTTAATCTTATTCCTTATGTTAAGTGAGTGAGCCGCTTCCTCACCTTGAGTTAGACTCTTGAGAGTCCATTTTTATTATTTTAGCTTTGGAAGTACCAGGATTCAGGAGCACAGAGGAAGGAGAGCACGTGATCCTACTGCTGGTTCTCCTCGGGGAACCCTTGAGTCCTCACAGAGGGAGATAACGAGCCTTCCCTCCTGTGGTGGGTAGATAGGAACTGGTTATTTAAGGCATTTCTAATTCAAGGGGACTTCAAAAAGTCCATCAAAATGGAATTAGAACATGAGTTTATTTTGGGATTAAAAAGTTTTGAAGTCCATGCATAGATTTTTCATAATACGCATTTCCATAAATGTTTGGAAGATGCCTCAGACGTCCTTTGCTACATCGTTAACACCGCATGGCTCTCCAATGAATAGCCATTGTCCAGCCGACAGTTAATCTGTGTTGTGGGTGTGGAATGTGAGCCAGGAGCAGTGATTGTGTCTCGGAAATGATGTCGTGTGACAAAGCGCGTGGCACAGCTCTCTTTCAGTTTACACCTGCACCTGTGGTGTTGACAGTTCTGTGGGACAAGGCCGGGAGCCCCTGGGTGGCCATCGTATCCCAAAGAACTTGGCGGCACCAGTCAGGATTGAGCATCGTGGTATGTGTGAGTTCCTGTTAGCATGGGACAGCGTGTAAAGGGGTCCTGGGATCAGGGAGCATTGACATCGTTGGCTGCAACCTTGCCTGCTCCCTCCAGCGGTGGGGCTGGGAACTTACTGATGCCCGCCCATCGCTCCAGAGCACTACCCAGGACCCCGTCTCTTTCTGTGTTGGCCACCGGGCTCTGACTTGGTGTCTAAAGAGACTCAGTCTTGTCTTTAACAGTGCTCCTTGTGCTACTCTGATTTGTACTTTTTTCTTAAAATGAAGTTCATTAGCAAAATTCTGGGTTTCTTGGGCCTTAGGCTACTTTAGAGCTTGAGGTTGGGAGCCAGTGCTTGACTGTAAATGCTTCCTGTTTTCAGTGTAGTGGCATGGCCTAGCAGTCCAGATTGTGTTCTACTTTTCTCTTATAGTCTTCTTGCCTGCCTTTGCCAGGAGGGTTAGAGCTTGGGATACATTTTATTTCTTTAAGAATTTGTATTGTCAGAACGTATGTGTGCTCATCAGAGAGAGAGAGAAAGAGAGAGAGAGAGAGAGAGAGAGAGAGAGAGAGAGAAATCACTCCCCAACGGGGTATGTGGTCATGCCACGATCCTTTTTCCTCCATTTCTCTCAATTCTTTCAGGATCTGGGGCCTCCTGGACTAGG